CAGTTTCTTCCTGTGCAAAGGGGGGTGATCGTACACACCTCCTGTTGCCGCAGAGGCTCGTCAGTGCGACGTGCCCACAGGAGTGTGTAGAAGCCCCGCTCATCAGCACTGTTACTGCACCCCCATGATGACGGTGGTGGGTAGGAGGGGGCCGAGGAGCCACCAAGAGGCAGCTGTGTGGGTCTGGGTCTCAGGAGTAAAGTCCAGGTTGGGGACGTGTTTGGGACCCGTCAGCAGAAGCGCTGGGTGAGAGCAAAGTGGAAGGGAAAGATGGGCCCGAGGCGGGTCCCAAGGAAGCACCAATATTGGCCGCAGAGCAGGAGGCCCCGAAGGCTGAGGCGGGCTGCTGGAGGAGGAAGGAAGCACAGGAGGGAGGGGGCTTCGTGGATAAGGGCAGGCTGGACAAAAGGGGTGCCAGCAATGCCACAGGCTGTCAGATAGCAAGTGGGGGCAAGAATGAGGAAGTCCCGGCTCTGGCCAAGTTGTCAGTGACCTGGAGTAGGCCGTGCTGGGTGATGGGGGACGCCAGCCTGAGTGGGCTGAGGAGGAACTAAGAATGAGGAACAGGGACCGCAGAATCACCACCTGGAGAGTAGTAGCCACCAAGACGCTTCAGACACGATATGGCTGGGAAAGGCCCTGGAATACGTGGAGAAGAAACCAAGAAGGGAGAGGGCTGAATTCCAAGTAGGAAATAGGGAATGAAAAAAGACAAAGAGAAAAGATGAACGGGGCCAGCAGGTGGTTAAGGCAGCCGCACTCCCACGAGGCCAACCACGCGGTTCAAGTTCCAGACCCCGCGGCTTGAAAATCACACTGGGTGTGTGTGCACGTGTACCCAAAATCCTGAGAGGAGAATGCAGAAGGATGGATTGCAGAGTGGTCCTCCTTCCTTGGAGGTGATTCTCCCTTTCCCTCTCCCTGTCTCTGTCTCTCTCCAGTGAGTGCACACACCCTATAGCAAAAAAAAATAAAAACAAACAGACAAAGAGAAAAGAGAAGTGGTTCCAATTCTAGAGAGGATAAAGCGAGAACTGGAAAATGGCTCAAGTCGGAAGAAGGCTGGAAGGCTCAGGGTTGGTCTCGTGGGCAGAGCAAGTGCCAGGGAGGCCTCGGCCTTTGAACAGGCCATGAATTCCAGCAGCTCATTGCTCCTTTCCTCGGGACTGGGTTCTAACCTTGGTGGTTGGGGGAAGAGAAAAGAAAACTGGATGAATAAACTACCATGTCTTCTCTCAAGCTGTCTGACTTACACCTGGGGTGCCTCGAGCAGTCCAGGTGAATCCCAGTCCGAAAAAAGCCAAGGTAAGACAGCCCACTTTGGGCAAGAATAACTTGAGATCAGAAAAGCACAGGATAGGCTATGTTCTTAATTCAACCCGCCTATTTTACAGATGAGAGTAATAAGGTTCTAGGCAGGGCCTTAGGGTGCCTAAAACTCATAGCCCTGTTTCGATGAGTCATGATTGACATCTCCAGAAAAAGGATGGCAGCGGAGGGGTGACTTGAGCAAGGAAGGGGCGGAGCCCTGAGTTATCCGTCTCCTCAGTCCGGTTGGCCCATGAATCAGCGGAACCAGCTCTCTCCCTGTGGCCCTCCCAGCTGTTCGGAGCCCAGGCTGAGCCTGGGGTGGTGAAATGACAAGGGCAGAGGGAGGGTCTGGGGCAGTTTGGAGAGCTGCTGCCATTAAACTTTCTGGTCGGTCTCCAAGCCCAGAGGTCCTGGAAGAAGTTTCCAGCGGGGTGGTAAGCAGGAGGGGCACACACAGGGGTGGGGTGGAGGGTGGAGGAACACTGCTGCTTTAAAACAGGTCTGATTTGCCTGGACTGAGAGAGGAATCGAATTATTCTGGATCCCTGTGCTGGGTGATTTGTTTCTGCGGGAAGAAGATAACAGAAACCCGGTGAGCGGAAGCTCTTGGATTCTTGATTCCCACCTCATGCTCACCCACAGGACTTGAATGGAGTCACCCTAAACTTCCTGTCCTTCTTCTTGTCACTCATCTGTCTCACTTCTCTGTCTTTGATTGACAACCTCCACTGCACCCCAAATTTTCTTAACAGAATTTGCATTAATTCTATACTGTAGAAACACACCCTTCCCTAGGTTCTCAGGAAGAGGCTCCACTCCTGGTTCACCCGGTACTCCCGGATCCCTGGCATGGAGTTCTAGTGTGAGAAATGATTTGGGAGCACCGGAGAATTTCAGCTAATGATTGGGAAGCTTGGGCTGTGGAAGCAAGAAGCAAGCATAGTATAAGGACATTTTGTTTGATTTTTGCTATAGGGCACATGCACTCGCCAGAGAGACAGAAAGCGAGATATCACTCCCCAGCGGGGATGGCCATACCCCAATCCCTTCTCTTCCATTCTCTTCCCAGGATCTTGGGCATACACACACATGTGCCTGGCATGAATTTTAAGTCACTGGATCCGGGACTTGAACCACAGTTGACTACATGGGAATCCAGCAACACAGCCATTACGCTAACTGCTGGTCCCACATAAGGACATCTTAATGACAGCACAGAGGCGCTGCGGTGATGGTGGCATGTGTACCCAACGCACTTTATATTAGCTCACTGGATCCTCACAGCAGCCTTGTGAGGGGAGATTGCCATTGTCCCCACTTGACAGATGCAGCACCGAGGCATGAGGAGTCATTTGCTTCAGGTCACTGGCTAGCATGGGACAGGTGCTAGCGCCTTCCCCACACTGCGGCGCTTTTACTTCCTCCTCTCCACCCCACCTCTGCCTGCGCAGCATCTGTTCACTCACCCCTTCATGCCCCACACACGCACTCACACCACCTGGACTCTGGGCCGGCCCCTGACAAACAGAAAGGTCCCAGCCCTCGAGGAGGTCACACCCTAGAAGATCACACCCAGAAGTTTCACTAGACAGCACAGTGACCCGAGGAAGGAAGTGATTAGCTCTGCTTGGTGAGTCTCAGAGGGAGATGGGTGGAAAAAGAAGAGAAAGTCATGCTTTGCTCTACCGGGTGTTGGGGTAGAGAACGTGGGCTTCTTCACCGCAGGGACCGTGTCCCAACCTTCCTATCCCCAGTGCTCGGCGACGCCTGACATGAAGGAGGCGCACCCTCAGTTCTTGGTGCATGAGTGGGGTTCAAGAAAGACGGATTGCCTGCTCCATAATTGCATAACTCAGACGGCTGCCTTAGAACGAGGCCAGAGCAGCCTGTGTAAAAGGCAAACCCACCGGAATGGGTGCAAATCTTGGATAAACAAGGGTTTGTCACATTCTAGTTAAAGGATGCAGGAAACAAGTAGAGAGAGTAGACAGGTGTAGTAAATGCGGCCGAGGCCTACCCAGCGGAACAAGGAAAACACCTGGGGCCACGAGCAAAGGGAAAGGAAGGGACACAGACAGCCGGCTCCATGTCGGCACAACCCTGAGAGCTAGAAGGCCGTCCTTGCTCAAACTCCCCAGGCTGGAGTGGGTTCACCGGGATGAGAAGAGCTCACTTAATTTGTACTTAAAATTCAGTGAAATAGAGACAGAGGGGAAACGGGGGAGT